CGCTGCCGCGCCGCCTGCGGGAGACGCTGCGCGGGCTGCACTACGTGCCGGCCACCAAGGTGTTCCTGAGCTTCCGCCGGCCCTTCTGGCAGGACGAGCACATCGAGGGCGGCCACTCCAACACCGACCGCCCGTCGCGCACGATCTACTACCCGCCGCCGCGCGACGGCGCGCTGCTGCTGGCCTCGTACACGTGGTCGGACGCGGCGTCCGCGTTCGCCGGCCTGAGCCTGGACCAGGCGCTGCGCGTGGCGCTGGACGACGTGGCGGAGCTGCACGGGCCGATCGTGCACCGGCTCTGGGACCGCAGGGGCGTGGTCAAGCGCTGGGCGGAGGACCCGCACAGCCAGGGGGGCTTCGTGGTGCAGCCGCCGGTGCTCTGGCAAGCTCAGAAGGAGGCCGGGCAGGGCTACAACTGGGCGGCCCCCTCTGGCCGCGTCTACTTCGCTGGCGAGCACACGGCGCTCCCGCACGGCTGGGTGGAGACGGCCGTCAAGTCAGCGCTGCGAGCCGCCATCAAGATCAACAGCCGGAAGTGGCCTGTGCCCGAGACGACCAGCCCGGAGGAGCAGGGGCAGCAAGTGCCCAGGGGGGAGGCCTCCCTGTGTGACCTGGCCAAGGGAGGGACCCCCCAGCCTCGGGACCAAGACCAGTTCTCTCCCCCACACACGACGCACAAGAGGACCTCGTATTAAAAGTATTTTTGGAAAAAGCTGTGTGTCCAGACCCCTCCCTGAGTCGGCTGCTTTCACAGTTTACCTGGACAGGAGCCATCAGCCCTCCGGTTAGAAGGGGCTTGCCTGTCCTGGGGCTGCCCAGAATGGGGGAAGCCGCGGGAAAAGGAACAGGGACGCCCCGCATCGCGCCGCCCCCCGCGATCCCGATTGCCGTCCCGGCCAGACAGTCCTGACAGTAGCTCAAACAACAGTTTATTTTTCTCACATCAGCAGCTGGAAGGCAGGGTCCCCACGATGTGCGACGCTGCAGGCCCTCGCGTTACGGTTGTGCCCACACAGGGACTAGGTGCCAGTCGCGGCCCTGGGCCCGCATCTTCACCCCTCCGGGGCCCCAGATCCGGCAGGCCAGGGAGCCCCGCCCCCACGAGCCCGCTCACTCACCCTCGAGAGGACCTCCTCACACGGCTCACGGCCCGGTGGCGGTCACGTGGCCAGGCCTGGGCTCTGCAGAGCCGCCGGGGGACCCCAGCCACCACCCCCTCCCCGGCCGGGCGAGAGCCCGGTGGTCGCTCCTCCCCGCCAACACGAGGCCAGCGGGGCGTGAGAAGTGTCAGTTTAATGAAGCCAGCTCGCCGGGAGCACACCCGCCCCTCCTCGCGGTCCCCCCGG